TGTCTACGGCTACAACTACCTAATTATTTTTATGCTGGCGACGATTCCAGAGGTCCTCAATAAGTTTTAACAATTTTGATTATTACTAATTTTAAGCACCGACTTGTAGTTTAAGTGGTTCTGATTATTAAAAATTCTTATTAATACAAAATAAATAATAGAAAAGTGCATCGTGTACAGAAACTGTAGATGGTGTTGGACAAATTTCAAATAGAAAAAAAAAACAGGAGCAATATTATAAAAAAATAACATTCTTGAAAAATTGACAAAATATAGCGCCAGAATAAAAATGAGTTTGAGGAATTTCAACTGACAAAAAAACATCTTTTTAGAACCATATATTTTATTATTAATTTCTTCAAGTTTCTCTCTTATAAATGTGTTAATGAAACTGAAAAATTCAAAATTATCAAACTTTTCCCAATCAGCAGCTATTTGGTTTGACAAAGAAATTGTGAATTCAGAATGATTCAATGTTTTCAACAAAGAATTGAATAATCTATTGTGAGATACAGCTCCTAAAATAGCGATTAGGGTGTTACCTACCCCTAGAATAAAGTTTCAAGGGTTTCAAGCCTCTAGCGCCATCTTTTCAGAAACCTTTGCACTAGCTACTTATATAACTGACTTCTTAAAATAAACCATAATAAAATTTTGTTAAATCATTTGTACCAGAAGTCCTTCAATGTTGCAAAAGAGATAACAACTTTTGTCAGTCAATTATAAGAAAATGCGTTAAAAACGTACTGTATAGTATATACGCTTAAACTAACAGAAATACAAGAATCTGAAAATATCTAATTTATCTATATCCAAAGAGTAAATGTAACAATTTCGGTATACTACATTTCGACACGTTAGGAAATATTCTGGCATTAGAAAATAGCCCGTGGGTATTTCCATTTGATTTGACAAAAAAGCATTGCTTAACTCTTCATAAATAATAATATCTACAGAACCAGAGTGAAATGAATTTTAATAAATATCAGTTTATAAAAAAACTAGTTCGAAATTTATATCGAAATTAAAAAAAAATGTAGCATGAATAATTAGAGGTAGCGATTATATCTTTACTATAATACCGTTATACACCGTGATCTAGTGAATTAAGCATTTTAAAGTTTTCATAAAATATGTTTAATAGTGGGAAAATAGATGTAATACCGCTTATTTTACGGTTTCTACGCACCAGGATTTTTATTTTCGTTTATATGAATTAATTTTACAGAACAATATTATTGTATGTTCACTTACCATAGTACTAAAGCGATTTTATAAATGGCATCATAAGGAATTAGTCCAATCATAACTTGTAATAGAGTCCTGTAAACAAAAATAAATAAATAAGTAAAACTTTATTTTGTTAAAAACGCTGCTTTTTCAAACTACTGCAATATATGTATGTTTAAGATTTTCTCGAAAAATGCATTTGATTAGCGTAATCAATAAGAACTTAGAAACACATTTATTCAATTGGCTTTTAAATAATCCTAAGATATTCGTAGTTAACGTTGATGATTTATTTTTGATTTAACGGTTTATTTCGCACTAATGACGCTAAGCTAAAATTTTTTACTGAAATATCAGTTTGGAGCATTCAGTGTTGCAAGAAAGGTTTTCTTCAGATATTTGAAACACCCTGTAGGACGTGCTGGTCAAAGCAGCTATGTTTGCTTGAATCTTAATACAATTTTTTTGAAAAATTTGTTTTTTGATTCACATTATATGTTATATATGTTATTAATCGAAATATACAGTTAAATTAAAGCTGCAGAGTTTGATGCAAAAAATTACATAGAACAATAACAATAATAAAAAAATCTATAACAGTATGAATAGACAACTTAAAAACAATCATTATTACATTCTACTTATGTCTAAAATATTTTTTCGGCATATAATAGTAACAATTTAATTTGTACATTTAACAGATGTTTTATTTCATTTCCTGCAAAAGTTAAAAAATGTCTTAAGTTGTTTAAGTGGTAACCAAAATTAAAATTAATGTTTTCCCTAAAGTAACTAAATTAATTACGTTTTAAACCAACTAAATTCTATTCAATAGTGAACATTTTCCAAAATTTCAGTAGAACTTTTTTCAGATATAAGTTGCTCTAAACCGTAAAAACAATTCATTTAGTTATAAATTTGGCGAAAAGGTGAAGTTTAATTACCCCTAGAATACCCTCAAATTGCTCGAATGTCACAGCAAAAAATTGAAATTTATTTTGTTCGAAAAAATGAACGCATTGTTAAAAATTACTATATTATTGTGGCTCTCGACAATAAAATTAATTGTCATAGCTTTTTCCACAGAATAAAAAGTATTTTCGTACAATAAATAATAAAAAAAAATGTATTTACTATTATCGAGTAAAATTTAACAATATTTTTCTATTGAATTTCACAATTTATGTCTCTACCTCTGTGTTTGTAGTAGAAAGCAGTATACACTGTGAAAATATAACATATTCTAACGCAATATGTTTCTAATTAAAATTCTGTTTGAAATTTTTCAAAAATTATTGACAAATTTGAGTAACGTGTTGACTTTAGTTCTGTCATACAAACAGGCGTGTTAAGTGTTGTTCTTGGTATCTATGCTGGTTGTGAATAATTTTACAAATCAATTTATGATAAAGATATAAATACAGTACCAGTTTTTTTATATTATTGGCACTTGATAGCTGCAAAATGTTAGTTATACAGGGTGATTCACAAATGGTGACCAAAAATGAAACCTCGTATTCTTTAGTGAATTTTAAGGAGAGTCTTTCCTATAAAGTTTTTATCTAGGACGCTTCGTTAAAAAGATTCAGGGTGTTAAACTTCAAATTTAATTTTTTTAAATAATTCAAAAACTAGTAAGTGAAATAATTTGAAATTTGGCACATGTATTTATGTAAACATTTTCCAAAATCTAGGGGCTTTTCCTAAAATGTACATGCTCCAGTGGCGGAGATACAAGGTATCGCTGGCATATTTTTCAAAATAAAATAGTACGCCACTGCTTTACGGTAACAATCATGATATTTTTGGATTCGTCTTTTAATTTTGTACAAATTGTTACTCTCTTATGTTTTTCGAAAAAAGTCTGATTTGAAAAACCAACTGAAAACACTTTTACTTAAATGATATGACAAACACTAAATCATTCGGTTATTTCTTCGAATAAAGAAATTAATAACATTAGTCATAATTTTAATGATTTTATTTGAGTAAATGCTCAAAAATAACTTCATTTCTACGATTACAGACCCGACATCTTTTAGTAACGAAAATGTAATTTATTCGAAATTTATTGTTGCTTGAATCTGATGAAAAGCATTATTTTTATTCTTTCTTCTAACTGCTCAGAATGTCAAAGTTGCTATCGCAGCCCACTATGTAATTTTAAAAAGCATTATATTCCAATATCGAAGTGTCCTCAGTTCGTTTTTTAAGTTTAACTCGAAAATCAGGCTTTTCTCGAAAAACATAAGAGAGTAGTAATTCGTAGAAAATTGAAAGATGAATCTGAAAAAATAGCAGTGGCGTACTATTTTATTTAGAAAAATATGCCACCGATGCCCTGTATCTCCGCCACTGGATCATCTAAATTTTACAAAAAGGTGTCCGATTTTGAACAATGTTTACATAAATACATGTGCCCAATTTCAAATTATTTCTCTTACCAGTTTTTAAATTATTTAAAAAAATTAAAAATGTTCTTTAAATTCCCTTTAAAATTCACCAAAGAATACGAGGTATCATTTTTGGTCACCATTTGTGAATCACTCTGTATGTAAAGATATAAGAAGAAGCAATTATCTTTAGCAGTGTTTTTCAAAATTCAAACAAACGAATATGGTTTATACTAAGATTTGACTATTTTTTTCCTACCTCGATTTGTGTTGGTTTTTAATTTTAATCGGTTTAAATAAAATTTATGTGTAATAATTTGTGATATCCAATTTTTTCAGTACCTACTCCAAGACAGTTTCTAGAATGTTTTAAGGATTTTCAATAGTAATGTGCTAGTAAAGCTATACATATACAGAAATTTTCGTGGAAAATCCACGAAAAGTTTCCTTTTTTACAGTAGATAAAGTGTTTTTTATTAAACACTAAAACTTTCTCTCAAAGTCTCTACCAGTATACATATATGTCAAACAGCAAAAGACTATTTATGGTGTTCTTAAGGATTTCTATGTTCTAAGTTAAAAAGAAGCTTATGCTCTTTTTAGATTAAATAAAACACTCCTTATACCAAGTTGCGTTCAAATCTCTTAAAAAGTAATGCAGTTGTAGTAAAAAAAATTGTGTCAATTGGTTTATTTCCGCCCAAGGATGCCACCCTTAAGGTATATCGGTAGGGTTTCTGAACATCCTGTATAAAACATTTATACAAAATTCTGATTTATTATCCTTTGGACGCTAGTGCTCATTTATATTTCAGCAGGAGCGAAATATTAAAACATTCCGTTTTTTTAACGACCTTCCGAATCATTCCTTTCCCTTAACAAGCCAACCCATAAAAGTTGACCTCTCTCCTCCGCAGCGCCCCGAAGATATGCAAAAACCCACCCCGGCGACTTTCCCAATCGACTTTCTCGAAGATGATTTACAACCCCCTGCCGCTGGTTCACCCCGCAAGTGCAAATCTAACAATAATACCGGAGAATAATGTACTGCGAGGCCGAATTCCTCGTCGTCCGCTGGACTTCCTCTTCTTCGGGGGTGCTCCAGTTCTCCCCACCACTCGCCCCGCCGGCCGCGTGGTGGAGGGGGTGGAAAGCACGTTAGGCTAGGTCAACCCTCGTGCCGCGAATATATCGCTAGTAGGCGACTGGATGTCAGTAGAACTAGTTCCCCTGTACGACACTCTAAGTTGGTACGAGACGAAAGTTTTATGCAAATCACATAAACAAACCCTGGGCCGTGGTGGTTTGGTCGAGAAGTTGATTTTTTCGGTGCTAGTGCGCGACTAGATGGTGTCCGTGGACGAACTGTGGTGAAATATGCCGCTGCTGCAAGAAAGCACCCCCAAGAGAGGTGAGTGGTGTTTTCTTAAAAGAAAATCGGGTTGAAGTGTGGAAATCTGCGAAAATTGTAACTTCCAGAGACTGATTTTTTTTAGATTGCACAGAAATTTTTTAAAATAGCAACATAGCAGTTTGAAGCTCATAATACCGATTTTAGAAAAGTGTTTAACCGACATGTTTATGTCTTTTAATGCTGGATACAAAATTTTATGTTTTTAAGAAGTAGGCGTGTCTGATAAGAGAGGCGTGGCCTGCTTTAATTAGTGTAAAATTTTAATCAGACTCAAAAATCCACTTGACGTAAAGAGGATGTTGTTTCCGCGTATTCTAATTTTGTAAGATTTGTTGCCATGACAAAAATTCACTTTTTTTCTTTATAAAAACACATTTCCCCAACATATTTTTATGACTACATTCAATTGTTTTCCTGATTACATATTATGATTTCTTAGGATTTTTTTTTCATATGTGTACATTTTATCCTAAACAAATACAATAATAATAAAGAAATCGCAATAAAACGAGAATTACTCAACACCCCGTACAAAGTAGTTATAGTATTTCGAAATATACATATATACATCACACAGGAAATATTAAATTTATGGCATATTTCAGCAGTATTTTCAATTTTCATTCACAGACACAGATATATTTTCCGATAAAAACAACGTATTAAAAAGCATGATCAAATATATTTAGTCGAAATTTTCAGCCAGTACACTCCTACAATTTTGAATATACCCAAGCTACAATGAAATCACAAATTTTACTAATTGTAAGTGATAGTACATCTACTAGGAATAGATATAATCATTGAATTCACAGATATCCGAACTAAACTTTTACCATTTTTAATGAACAGGATTTTCATAAGAATTAGAAAGTATAATTCTCCTGTACATTCTTTTCATCATATCTCCCTTACTATTAAAAAGAGACCTATCAAATCTAGTCAAATATATATGACTATATTAGCAGTCTGTTCAAAAATAAATTGCTACAAATTTTGACATACATTTGTTAAATTTATCGGGTCCGAAATAAAAGCCCAGACATTTGTATACCACTTTTTTTTGTCTAATTCTTACACACTGTATCTATGTGTCAAAATTTAAATGGCAAATATACAAGATCATCACGCTAAAATGTTATTTAACTTAAGAAAGGTAAATATGATCTATTCACTAATTGTTTTGTTAAAAATAAAGTTAAAATAATATTTTGCCTACATCTTCTTACAATTGCAAAAAAATATATAAAACGTACAGGGTGTTCTGTAAGAAAAAACAGTGTAAATCTGTAGATTGTAACCCATAATCAGAGATTTAGATTTCGAAAAAAAAAATTGGAAAAATGTTATTTTTCGAAACAAAAAAATTGAAAAAAATGCAGAAGTCAGTATAAAAGCACGAAAAATACTTATGAAACTATTTTTCGGATATATTTTATTGGAATAAACCTCACTGAGTATGAAAATAAAGTTTAACAGGTATATTCTGAATCATGATACCCTCAAATTTCAAATTAGTAGAGCTCAAGTGAAAACTAAACAAAAGGTACAGATATTTTATTTAAAACAAATAAACATTTTAATCTAATAATAATAATAATAATAATAATAATTTAATTTTTTAAATAATGAACATTTTAAGAGTACAGAACGAGTTCTCTAAGTTCTCTATAATTAAAAAGCAATATTGAAAGTCTTTTAACTAAATTTTAAAACAGAAACAGGCTAAAAAGCAGAAATCAGAAAAAAACATTATTTTCAAATTCACTGAAAAAGATTCAATGCCGTAATGCTGATGCAATGCTTTGTTTCCAATTCAACATGTTTCTTGGTTATTCTCGACAAATTTAAAATCTTTATCAACTATTAAAATTATTATTATTAAAATAATTCTTAAACATTATTTTTTATATAAAAATATACTATTTATGTTGGTTAGAATCCTATATGTCCTACATTTTATCAAAAGTTATATTTTAGCAAATGTTTTCAATTCTTCAAATTTTTCTGTGGAAAAAAAAACAGTTTTTTTGCATAAAAAATGAATTCCTTGTGAAAAATGAAAAAACGCACTATTCCGTATCTTCAAAAGCAATGAATTTAAAGTCTAGTATTATATTTCCGCATAATGGTGGCATCATTTTGTAATAATTCGTATCAATTAAAAAATTCTTCTTGATGCCTTTAAACAATTATTCATTTGTCTTTACTTTGATGACAAGAAGACAAATTTGAGGATTACCGAGAAATATGACATTTTAATCATTTTATTGTATGACTAAAGTCACTATCATTGTAATAATCGACAAACAACATACTGCAGATGCAGAACAAAATATTGCAGATACAGTATTCACGCCACGTGACCCCGAGCTTAGACAACCCAACAATGCACGAAAATTCCCTAGATCTTGTCGTCACTAATATTAATGATTCGTTTACAATGAACAATGACAAACCGCTACGCCCACGCTGGAGATAAAGCAATTGCTGATTGGTTGAATAGAATCTCGTCAAAAATTGCACCAATCACAGCCGGTGAAACAGAATGTTATGTTTTAACGTAGTCTTGATCTTATTGTTTTAATAGTTTTTAATTTTACTGAAATGTAATTGTGGCTTTTAATAATTTATGAACACTCTGTATATTCTAGGGAATATTTACTAAATTTTATTATTTGTTGTCCTTTTGCATTATATATTACGTCTAATGTTTGAATACAGACACTGTTATTCATCCTGGCATAACTAAAATATTTGTGAATATCGGAAAATCACATATCTAACTCGACAAATTATTTTCACGTTCGATTCATCGAATTTCGTGAAAAAGATTAAATTGTGTGAACTTTCTCCGGAATTGATGCCCGTCATCCTTTTTTGCATAAAAACTACGAATTTCGTTCTAACATGAACCAGCCTCAAGTACAGTTTTGGGCGATTTTCATCTGTCCCGAAGTCCTGGGCCATCGGGGCCGTTCCGGCCCTGCATCTTCGACCGACAACCCCGACCCGATCGTCGATTATATACAATAGCGCAACCGATATGTACCATACAGCAGCACAATGAACACAATCGAGTTTTTACCGATAGTGAACGGCGTTCCGACGCAAAAAATTGGAAAGTAAACGATTTAGGAATTAGCCCAGTACTAGGAACAATTAATTCAGGAAATATTTTTAATAATGGCGTTTTAATTACTTGTTACTTAAACGTTACGACACTGGCAAAACACGCCGATGCAATCACCGAATTCAAAAACTTAACTCATTCGATCTAGTCGGTTCGGGTAAAAGTTACCGGCAAAGCGCGAAAGCAAAAAAAATAGATTAGGTAGATATTAATATGTACGCAAATTGGGGCATAGATAATCGTAAATTGCCGAAACAGTTCTCAGTCCGAACGAAAAAAAGAAAAAGTTATTTCTAATCGGTGAAATATGCATAAGTTGTTGCAAAACAAAAACAGTTCGGAAAGCGCACAAGGCAAATGTATAAAGTTATGATTACGGCAAAACGGTTTCAGTGTTGTTTGAAAATTTGCTGCTAATATTTCACAACCAGCCATACGCCAAGTGTTTATATCAGTTTGTGTTGAAGGAACAAAATCCAGAGGTAAAAAATAAAAAAATACCTATTACAGACAGCAATTTGTATGTCCATGCCATGTAAAAGTAGATACAATTGGGTACATAACAATTAAAAAAAAACGTTTTATGTTATCTGGAAATAACACATCGTTTCTAAAAGTACGCAATGTTTAAATGATTATTTGATGGAATAATTCAATAATTTTTAGATTATTATTTCTCATTATCCACACAAACATATTTCTGATTATCGGCACACTTGTTTAACATTTATGTAAATTAACTGAATGTGAACCAGGCTTTATGATTTAAGCTTTATTTACAGTTACAATTAATAATAAAATGGGCTTTCTTAGGAACTATGAAGATAATTTGAGGACTACTACGTATCTTATTGAATTAAACGGTATTTTTGCTTACAAAATACTTTAATTTAACATATTTATTTATACTATAAGGTTGTTACGTATTTTTTCGATTCAAAAGTCAATGTTCTATAAAAAATACCTTCATTTGTCACATTTATTTAAGTAATTTAAATTCCATTTATAGTTCTAATTATAAGTAACGAAATGAGTTTACTTTTGTGCCTCGAAGATCACCTGTGGATTGTTTACAAATATCTTTTCGATTCAAAAGATATTTTGCTTAAGAAGGGCGTTTTTATGCATAATTTTCAGTGAATTTATAGCAGTTTTTTGTCGAGAGTTTTTCAATTGTATAAATTATACCAGCTTTTCCCAGTCTTCTGGTTTACAATCTTATATGACGTTCAGAATACGAAAAAAACATATTATTACCTGTTATGTTTATCATTACATTTCCAGAACTGTACACGCATGTTAAACATACAAAAAATCGCGTACGGCACTATAAACATAATCACACCCCGTAGTATGTTTTTAACAAACTATTAACACATGAACTAATCACAATTATTAAATACTTTTTACAAACCTCTCGACAAAACAGGAAAGGTACATTTTCAGATGTTTACATGGGTGGCCTGTGATTTTTTTGAACGAAAAAATAAACAAATACTTGTATTTCAACATTTCTATAGTTTGAATACTGTCGAAAAGTTGGCTGTAGTCACAGTAGCCGTCCTATGATCTTTTTTGTCCCAAGATCGTACTGACGATATTTTTGAATGGTATTTGCATAGATTTGACATAATACATAAGAATGCCATGCAATATGTCATGTTTAAATGAGGATATAAAACATTGCACGGAAAATAATCGTAATAATAATAAAACGACTACGAATATGAAGTTACCGATTAAAGAAACGCCGATCGTTGTGGTGCTATTGTTCTAATTTGGAATTTCTAGTCTATAAAACGAAGTCCTTAAAATAATCTTGATTTAACATATTTACTCAAAGTTTATGTACATCAATACGAGC